AGTGATAAAATAGAAATTTAGTGTATTTAACAGTTGGGGATGAAATTCGTGGCGGTAATTTCTCTTAATTCTGGACATTCCCTATTTAAATATGCATGTCATGTATTCTATATGAATTCTGATATTACGCCGCGGAAAATCGCTCTTATTCTATTCAACTTAAAGGTTGTTACACGAGCCGCATTTGATAGGTTCTAATATACAATTTGGATCAAAATTCCTTATTTAGTGTTATTCTGTTCATTCTTCTACAGCAAAGCAACATCGGCAAATATTTTAGTAGTAAAATGACCGTTCAAATTAATTGCTATTTCGAATTCTTTTTGTGAAATTTTAAACAAGTTTCCAATTTATTTTATAAATATTTTTTAACTATACTATATTAAAAGAAATAATAATGTCAAGTTATGTCAAGGTTTATATTAAAATTACAGTATAATCCTATGTGTGCACATAAGTAAGAATGTAAGAAAATATATTAAGAAGCTACGGCAATTTGAAATAAAAGAAATGCAAAATTTCGACTCGGCATTTTATTCATTAATGTAGTAAACTCACACCATCGTAAAATTAAAGTAAGATTCCTTCTTTCTCTCTCTCCTTCTCTCTTTATCTTAGGAAATATTTTCATGTTATTTACAGTTGTTTAGGTATAGGCACATTAGGTACTTAATGGTACTTTAATATTTTTTTATATTTATTTATTAAGCACCTATATACATGTATATAGGTTTCCATAAAAATATTATTCATAAAGAATCACACGCGTGCAATAAAAATGTTGTAACTGAAAAAAATACGATTTTTTAGGTTTTAAGACAATTATTCATTCATATTCATTTTATATTGATTAGTTTGTATTTTACATAGCTTTGCACGAGCTATCCGCAGTTTCAGACTTTCTTGAATTAAAACAATTTTACAGCGAGGGTGCGAGGGTAATACACTTTTATATGCCAGTTTTGTAAACCTGTATTATTATGAACAACAAACTATAAGGGTATAGGTACAATATGCATTTAATAAAGAATCACACGCGTGCAATAAAAATGTTGTAACTGAAAAAAATACGATTTTTTAGGTTTTAAGACAATTATTCATTCATATTCATTTTATATTGATTAGTTTGTATTTTAGATAGCTTTGCACGAACTATCCGCAGTTTCAAACTTTCTTGAATTAAAACAATTTTACAGCGAGGGTGCGAGGGTAATACACTTTTATATGCCAGTTTTGTAAACCTGTATTATTATGAACAACAAACTATAAGGGTATAGGTACAATATGCATTTAATTATTATTGGTCAACGAAAATTTTCAAATGTTTAGCAAGACCCATTAATTTTTGGTTTTTTTCGAGTAATGAACCTGTTTAATTTTAAACAAGTTTCTAATTTATTTGTTAAATAGTTTACTTTTTTCTAAAAACCGATAGCCATGTATGAATTTTAAATAACATTTGATTATTAAATCAAAAAAAAAAAATTACATTTAAATAAAAGTTGTTTAAAAATTCTATTGAAAAAATAAAATCAACAATTAATTATTGTCAGTATTGTTAAGAATTTTGAAATTAATTGAACAAAATAAAAAAATTTAAATTTTAAAATTTTATACATTCACAGTTTTACTTATATAAGAGGCACTCATACTATATTGGAAGCAACAAGATGAATATGAAAATTTATTTAATTTTAATATTTCAAATTATGCTAACACTATCAGAAGATGCTAATTTTAATAAGGTATACTATTATAAATTATAGGACATAAGTCCAATTCCCTTAAAACAATTTTTTTTTTTTTTTTTTTTTTCCTTCGTGAATATTTGAAAATTACTTGTATAATATTTATTAGTATTGCATATTAAGTTATATAATATTGAATATAATTTTTATAGTGACCTGACCGGGGCTTGAACCCGAGACCCTTCGTTTAAAGGGCCGGTGCGATAACCACTGCACCAACGGTCAGACTTAAAACAATTAATAATAGTAATTTTCAATTCAAATTTAAATTCAATTGAAAATTTTTTTAAATTTCTGAAATTTTTATTTGCATTTTAATTATTCAAGAGCAGCAATAACTTTGCATTTGTTTTTCTAAAATTTTTAGGTACTAGATATTTTTAAACCATCAGCTACTATACGTCTTGCAAGACCATTAAAAACTGGTGATGTTATAAAAGTTAAAGGAACATTTGCAGATAGTGGAACAGAGTTAGTATATATACATATATTAAATTTTAATTAATAAAAATTTTAATTTCATATAGAGCCAGTTTTGATTTAGAAAATGATTATTGTAATTGGATTAACAAAACATTAACAAATTGTATTGATTATGATTTATTAATACAATTTCAATTGGGTACAATGAAACGTCGGATTAATGTAAATGGAGAATGGAAACATAATATTGATACATATAATTTACGTTTAGAAAAATCAAAAATATTTAAATATAAATTAAAAGTGAAATCAGATCATTTTGAAACTGAATTATTTGATGAAGAGATGGCACCATTAAAATTTATTGAACCAATTGAAAATTTAAGTATATTTCGGGTTTATGGTCATGCCAATATTGATTCATTTAAAATAAAACATGAAAAGGATGAAGATAAAGATGAATAATTTTTTGTTTTTTTTTTTTTTTTGTGGTTAATTTCACTTTTATTTTAAAATATTGTTACAGTTTTTTATTAGAAAAACATTGTTTTGAGTGTAATTTTTTTTTTCTTTGAGTGTATACTATAATGTTTAAATTTAGTATTTAATATTGTAATTAATGTCGGGAAGAAAATATAAATATATATTTTGTAGTTTTGTAATGAAATGGTTAAATTATTGAAATTGAGTTCTTAAATTGAATGTATATATACATGTATATAATATACAAAAGACTATTTGGAAGGCTATTTATTTAAAAGAGTAAGTTTTTTAATGTGTTCATACAACAGAATCATTTTCAAAATGAGGTCAGGAAGATATAAGGAAGCCGGAATTTCCGGAGCACTTTTCTTCAACAAAAAAAAAAAGGTAAGAAAAATGGTATTAAGATAAGCAAGGTATTCTGTTTGTAAAGATAGCTTAAAGATTCAACTAAATAAGCAAAACAATCTTTAAGCGCTCGCTTTAGCACTATAAGATTTTAATGTTAATTATTATTTAATTTTTTGCGAAATTTTTTTTTCCTGGCAGTCAGCACTAGGTCAATAGAAGGCTCGTTCATCCACAATACACCTAACCCCCCGAATTAATTGAAGTTTCTTGAAAAAGTTTAGTAGATAATCGGCAGGCGCCTCGAGTGTTCCTCTACTCCGTTGGACCAATATCTTCGTAGATAACTTGATGCACATCCTTCACAATCTCGATGTCTTGGCATCAGATATTTGCTAATGTCGATAACCGATGTTATCGACATTAGCAAAAACAAATTGTTTGTGAAATAGAGATTTTCGACTCCAAGTCGAATTCATTATAATAGAGCCTTCACTGTATTATATCATAAACTATGTAGATTATACATACATACATATTTTGTAAAAAATAAACATTAATTAAATAATATGATTTAATTCAAAATACTCTTATGTCATCAACATTTCAAGAGCGTCTTAAATTAATCTATACTTATAAATTTAAATATTTATGTACGTTTTTGTATTTGTAATCCGGTTACCTATAATATTCAAGAAATACTCAAATATTTTCTTCTTAATTATTAAACAATTTTAGCATTCATTAAAATAATTAAAAGAATTATAAAGAAAACAAACAGAAATTAAAATAGAAAGAAAACGAATCATATATAAACAAGTATAAGATGAAATTTACAAAATGGACTAAATGCTGTTAATACTTTAATATTATCTTCGTCGTTATACTTTAATATATAAATGTCGTTATACTTTAATATTATATAAATATATAATATATAATATATAAATGTCGTTATACTTAATGTATAATATATAATGTATAATATATAAATGTCGTTATACTTTAATATTATCTTCGTTCGATTTTTAACAAAACAGAATTCGAAATATAGCGTGACGCCAGATTAAAAGATGTGGGTTTATCGGAAGAAAATAAAAAAAAAAATACATTATTGTTTAATAAAACCAAAATGACTCAGAGTTGTTCAGGTTATCAACATCTTCTTTAGAAAAATATAAATTTTTTACTTCTTTATTTTGTCTGTCTTGTTCCCATTTTCCGATTGAACTTTTATTAATTTATAAGATGCAAAATATTGCGCGTATATCTACTTGTATTTGATCTTATTATAAATTAAAATTGGCTTTTATTTTTGAAGAGCAAATAAAAGAGGGCAATGATCCCTGCACTCCAATTTGACGTGAAAAATGTATATTAACAAAAATTTAGCAGAGTTACAGTTGTATGGCTCATAAAGGTACAAGTTATTTACTCCTTTACTGCAAATTTAGAAATTAATTAAATAAAAGCGGTTCTATGCGATTAAATTTAAAGTAAGTCAAATAATTGTAGCTCAAAATTAAAAACAAGCTTCGATCAGAGGTGTAGAGTGAGAAGTGTAATTTGTACTTATGATTTGTACTTGTGTGAGGAATATACTCATGACTGAGCCATATGTTTACAAAACCAATATAAAGGGTTAACAATGTAAGTAATGCCGTTGCAAAAAAAAAAATGGGACAAGAAAGTTGAATTGCTTTATCTATTACAAAGGACATACAAATGTGTAAAAAATTTTAATAATTTAAAATTTACAAATTTGTAATAAAATTTACTTAGGTCAAAATTTAGGAAAATCGCTTGATTTTTTTGTTTTAAAGAAATACTGCCTTTTCTTTTAACATTTAAGAATATTTGTTAATTTCATTAAGCATACGCCACTTGTTTAATTTCATGTAGACATTAAGAAATAGTTGGTTAGAGAGTTCAAATCGTGCTAATAAGAGTTTAAAATTGTAAAATAACTACGCACTTTTCAGTTAATAATTTTGAATTTTCTACTTACTTTTACGATTTAATTCTAGTTTTTGGGTTTTTATAATGAATTTAAAATTTTTATTGCTATTAATTTTTCAAATTGTGTTAATTAAATGTGAAGAATCAAATTTTGATCAGGTATTAGCAATAACAAACTAATGTAGAGCAATTTTAAATAATTTGTGAATTTTAATTAATAATTTTGTATAATTTTAATAGGCATTAAATATATTTAAACCATCAGCTACTATACGTCTTGCAAGACCATTAAAAACTGGTGATGTAATTACTGTTAAAGGAATATTTACAGATAGTGGAACAGAGTTAGTATATACATATATTAAATTTTAATTAATAAAAATTTTAATTTTATATAGAGCCAGTTTTGATTTAGAAAATGATAATTGTGATTGGACATATCGTCATTTAAATGGTTGTATTGAATATGATTTATTTGTACAATTTCATACAAGTAAAATGTATCGTAGAATTAATTTAAATGGAGAATGGAAACATCATCTTGATACATATTATTTACGTCCAGTAAAGGCAAGAGATTTTAAATATACATTTAAAGTGAAACCAGATCATTTTCAAGCTGATTTATTTGGTTATGAAATGGGACCATTAAATTTTACTGAACCAATTGAAAGTTTAAGTATGTTTCGTGTTTATGGTCATGCTATTGTTGAATCATTTACTATTAAAAATGAAAAAGATGATAAAGAATAATTTTAAGATTTTCATATTTTTTATTTTATTCTTACATAGCATTTAATTTTAGTATTGATATTATAAATTATTATTAAACATAGTCTGAAATAAAATATTAAATATTGTTTTTTTTTAATAAATATCGTAAATTATTTATTTAACCAATATCTGATAATTGTGGATAAAATTTTAATAATTTTATTAATTATACAACAATATTTTAATGAATATAGAATTTTCAATTGTATTCTAAATTTCCATATACCGTGATATATTTGTGGTGACCAAACCAATGTAGCCTAACAGGGACAAAAGGGAGACGAGAATTGTGTTGACGTATGGTAGGACAGATCTCAGTATACTGGTGGGGATGCTGACGGGGCACTGCCTATTGAGAAAAATGGCCAGGAAGCTTGGAGTCGCTATGACGGATATATGTCTAGAATGCCAGGATGTGGTGGAGGATGTGAGGCATGTTCTCTGTGCCTGTCCGTTTTTAATGTGGAAGACAAAGCGTGTCTTGGGGGCTTACTTTTATGATGACTTGGGAGACCTGTCCGGGGTGTCTCTCGCGCGGTTTTTACTTTCGTAAATTTCTAATTCATCCTTCAGATTTGGAGAAGAAAATTATTGAAATTACCTATGTAAATTACTACAATTAGGGTTAAGTTATGAAAAAATGATAAAAATTTAAATTAAGGGCTCCTTTTGTATATTTTGTTTTTCTATTGTGAATTGCAGCACGATTTTTTTATTACATAATAATTCTTTTGTAATATCCCGATCCCTGTGTACTTGTAATTTAATTTTAAATTAAATTTTTAATTACATTACTATATAACAAAGAGAATTGACTTTTATAAAAACTTGTAATTGACAAGAAACAAATTAAATTTTTCTATATTTCGTTTTATAAATATAATAAGATAGAAATTTTCGAGAGAGTATAGGAATTTTTTTTTAACAACTATGAAAGTAAAGCAAATCAAAAATTTAAAATAACATTGGAATATACCAAAAAAAAGGGGCGACAATTAGAGGGAACTCGTCCATAAAATAATTCCATATAGTATTTCCAACATGCTTCTGGAATGGTTGTAATATGACTACCATACAGTAGTTATATTGTTACATATAGTAGCTAGGTATGTCATTACGTCGATCATTGATTATAATAATATGCATTTAAAATGAAATTTTTTAAACTTTTCAAAAACTTTTAGTATGCTTACGCATATCAAACCAAAGGTAATCTTTTTTGTGACGTTGGAAAATCTTTATACATATACATATCTAGATATTTTTTGATAATTTTCTCTTTTAGAGAATAGAAAATCAAAGATTAAATATAGACAAAGAAATTATTAAGCGCCAAAGGCCAAACTAAAAATGAAATATGTATTCGAAACAATGCAAAAGAGGCGAAGAGAGGTTTTCTTTTCTCATACGTCATCAAACGTCATTAACGTAAGAGAAAAGAAATTTTTTATTGGTTTATTGTGTTTGTTTTTTTTATCATTTATAACAAGTTCAATATTTTCAGTATAAAGAATATAAAAGAATTTAAAAAAGATATATCTTACATATACTCTAGGTTTAAGTTCACATAACTCAAAAATAGTAAATTTTGAGTCGCTAGTATTAATAAATTCAATATTGGTGCGGCTGTGATGACAAGATATTGTGACGCGTGCAATTGTTGTAATCGTCATAGCAATTTATTGTTAGAAAAATGATAATATTTATGGAATTTGCTCTTGGCATTAAAAAAACCCTATCCCCTCTACGAGAATTGACATTTTATAACATATAACAATATAATAAATTGAGATTGATGATCGAAAGAGGGCTATTAAGAAAGAATGAATAGTCTTACCTGAAATTTTCTAGTATACGTATATTTTCACAACTGTTCCTTCTTTGCTTCTCAAAATTTTAGAATTTTGACAGGCAAAGCAATAGCATATAACGGCTAAAGAGTTCATCTTATAACATATTGATAACTTGATTTTACCTCACGTTTTTGTTACTTAAAATGTAAAGTATTTTATCGTGATATGTTTAAGACATTATTGTAAAGGTTTACAGGTCAGCGTAATCTACACATGTTGAAAAGAAATATACTCTCTCTTAGGTAGAAGTGTAATTACCTGGATTTCATTCTAAGAAAATCTGAAATAAACTGAGAGCAGATGTTGTAAAATATGTTTTGTTATAAAACATACTTACTATAAATACGCACCATAATACGAATTGTTGGGTTAAATATGACTTGATGGTGATAATAGTGATAACTGATAATACAGGTTTTTCTAGCATATTCGATCAGAAAGCTTAAAAATATATTAGATTTTGTTTTTTGTTATTTTCGAAGATACAAAAGAATTTTTTTTCAATATTTTGCTCTACATTAATTTTATATAGTCGATAAATTTCTAAGAAGACATTTACGATCAATCAGTTGTTTAGTTAAAATCAGCGGTAAATAGAAAAAATATTCGAGACACATAATTTTATATTGGAAATTTACAATTTGTTACTTAAAATATTTCAAAAAAATAATTTATTATTTAAATATAATAAATATTTTTACTGTTATACTACAATATAATAATGAATTTTAAAATTATTTCATTATTAATATTTCAAATTGCATTAACGTTATCTCATGAACCAAATTTTGACTCGGTACGTAATGATAATAAATAAATTGACCAAAAATAATTGAAAAAAATAATTAAAATTTCAATTTAATTTTAGGGTTTGAATATTTTAAAAGCATCAGCAACAATACGTTTTGCAAGACCATTAAAACCTGGTGATGTTATGATTGTAAAAGGAACATTTGCAGATACTGGAACAGAGTAAGTTGCCTCTTTACCATATTTTTTTAAAAATACATTTTTGAATATATTTTTTGACTGAAAAATTTGTTTTAGGGCCAGTTTTGATATAGAAAATGATCATTGTGATTGGACAAATTGGGTTTTTGATAATTGTATTGAATATAATTTATGGGTACAATTTCATGCAAATAAAATGTTTAGAAAAATTTTTGTAAATGGTACATGGAAACATGATATTGATACATATTATTTACGTCCAGTTAAACCAAAAACATTTAAATATACATTTAAAGTGAAAAAAGATCATTTTGAAGCTGATTTATTTGGTTATGATATGGCACCAATGAATTTTACTGAACCAATTGATACATTAAGTACATTTCGTCTTTATGGTTATGGTAATGTTGAACAATTTATTCTTAAACATCAAAAAGAAGATGCTGAAGATTAACATTTTTAGTTTTAAATTTAATTTAATTAATTATTTTATAAAATATTGTTTTAAGAAGAATTTTAATAAATTATAGTTATTTTATATAAGAGAATTTAAAAACAGAAAAAATTATAATCAATTGCTAATTAATATCTAAATGTGAGCCCAAGTATTACTTTGTCGTATATTAGGTACAATTTTATCCTACATATAGTTTGTTTATTTAGCAGCTGTGAACTTAGTTCTGTGAGCATAATACTTATCCGACTATATAAGTTCTACGTGACTGGAAAAACATACGAATAATAGAAATAAAAACAAATCTGTCAAAATCAGTTTTGCGTTGCAGACCACAATCACGTGAGAGAATAATATTTTTATGCAAGAAAAAAATTACAAAATTAATGACATTAATTGTCAAATGTTTAATTGACATTTGTCCAATTAATATTTTTATCATAAATTTGTTAGTTTTGATGCTTCTCATTGAGTTTCCTGTAGGCTTCTAACTAAGAAATATTTTTGAAGAATGCATTCATATCGAAAAACAATGTCAATGTATGATGTTAATCTTTAATTATTGGCTCACTTCAAAATATCAAAGTTCACAAAACTATTTTGAGAGAGAAGATTTTTGAAAGAGATTTTGAGAGAGATTTGTTATTATTAACTAATGTACGATGTCCCGACACTCTTCGATATAGCCATCAAATTAGAAAATTATTTACCAGTAATTATTATAATTTATTTTTTTCTAAAATACGGTGGTATGCCTAAAATGACTTACTTAATCAATTAATTTCGAAATAAATTTACATTTTTTGGTTTTATACTGTAATCGCTAGTAATTTTTCTACTAATAATTTTCTAATTGTCTTATGAATAGCTGTCATTGTAATGACTATTATAGTAAATTTTTATCAAAAATTGACATTCGGAAAACCCAGTGATTATTTTAAATTTATTTTTACTTTCAAAAAGAAAAACATAAAAAAGCAAGGCGTTGGTTATTAAAATCTGGTTTGTTTTACGTGCATAATTTTATTTACCTATTTAAAATTAAAAGAAATAAAAAATAATGTTGGATCAAATTAATGGTTTTTAAAATAGCACTTCTTCCTTGACTAAGTGAAAATAAAAGCATAATAGGCAAATTCGACGGTTAAGAAAGAGAGTCAATATAAATAATTTTTTTTTTCAATGGCACGGCATTTACCGTTACCTTCTCGCTTTTATAGAAATTTAGAAAAAGCTTGCAGTTTCGAAAATATAAGGCGTCGAAAATTTACGTTTTACAAATTTCAAAAGGCGATAAATTTGGATTTGGTGGAGTGGAACAAAATTTCTCTAGAGAAATAAATTTCTTATTAGTGTCTAAAAGCCAGTAAAATTTTAGTTGCCGTCTGATAACGATTGATGTCAACGCTCATTTTGTCATTGTAACGTTTGAATATACTGTTTTGCGATATTAAAAGCTAATAACTATTCTTGTGCTTTCAAACTGGGAAGAAGATTTTCTTTTAGAGAAATAAGTTTCTAAATAAAGATCCTTTTGTATATACATAATATTTTAGCTTCCTATCTTAAAAGGTGTACAAATTTGGCAAACAGATACACGAACAACAGACAGGTGTGCGTACAGAATGGAACTAACGAGCACTTGTTTACTTTTTTTTTTGGAAAAATGCTAAAAATCAAAAACAAAAGTAACACATTTGAATTCTTTTTATCATATACTTAAGTACACGAGCATTGATTGTTTACCAACCAAACCAACCATAATAATAATATAAATACTCGTACCAGAAAATACCATAAAATAACAGAAAAATAAATTCTGCTTTAATTTAATTTTTTTCTTTTAGTATTTATGCCAAATATAAAAGAATGAGAGGTTAGAAGGTATGATAAACCTGAAGATCCAGTTTTTTAAATTTTATATTTTCTTTACTTTCCATGTTTTATTTTTAACATGAAGATGAACTTTTGCGTCTATAGTATAACACTGCACGCGTATACAATTAATAATATAAGCAAAAAAATTATCAAAACATAATTTTATTCTAAAGACAATCAGTTTTAAAAAAAGCTCTTAAACGTGTAGACTAGTTAGGACAATAGTCTCTCTATTCAATTGCATATTAAAAAGAATATTTTAATATTTAATATTTTATTATCATACTAAAATGATTATTTAATTATTTAATAATAAAATTTTGAATAAAAATATAAAAAAAATTAAAATATAAAAATGAAAATTTATAAAAATTTTGAATTTTTTACAATAATTTTAATTTTATTTAATTATAATATAAAATTATCATTAGGAGTATGTAATAATCGAGTTTTATATAAATTTGGTTTAAAATTATTTTGTGAATCTGAGAATGAAGATGCAATTTCATGTTTTGAAAATTTAAATGCTATTAAAACTGTTAATATACAATGTGCGAGTGGTTATTATAATGAAGATGATATTAAACAACAAACAATTATTTGTCAGGAAAATGATCAATGGTCTAATATACCAATGATATGTTTACCAAAATGTGGTGGACATCCTAATACTGTTGAATTAATATATGAAAATCAAAAGAAACCGACATGGTATGCTGAAATTATTGGTAAAAATAATCTTGTTTATCCGGGTATAATATTATTTGAAAGAGAAATTTTAACAAGATGCAAATATTTTATGGGAAATGATAATAATAATTATAATATACGTATACAAAAAAATTATTATAAAATTAATAAAATAACACCATTTAGGTATGTATGTGTATAATGTTTATGAATAAATTGTACGTATAGAAAAATATTACTGTAAAATGAAGTATGAGAAAAAAAATGAGATTTTCGTGACCTTTACAGCCTTCTGTATCTTGCTTTTTCATCTCGCCATTTGTTCACTTTCAAATAAAAATTTTCATTTTGTTTAATTCAATCGGATTTTTCACCTTAAATTATCGATTGAATTTATCATCTTTACAAGATTAGGTTACTAAGTTTTATATTCAGATGAAAATTACCTTATAAAGGTACATTTAGTTTTTTCACATTCGGCGAGTAAAAAAAAAGGAGATGCACGATTAGGTTCATAGTCTGCTTAATTTTGAATTACTGAGTATGTATGTAATTTACAGCAATTTTTGTGAAAAGAAAATAAAGGCAAATTTTGGTATAGCCATTTTAGCCCGATGAATTCTTCCATATGAAATTTGTATCGCTTAAGCAAGAATTATGACATTTTATGGCAACTTTTAGTTTCACATTCACAATATGATAGTGAAATGAGACCATACTATTATAATTTGTGCAATTGTCGCAATTAAGATTATAATAATGTGTTTCTTAACTGATTTATTTTCTTAATTAATATTTTCTTAATTAAATATTAAGTTATTAATAATATTGTGATTGAGCTCTTATTTTTTTATCTGTGATATTTTAATAAATTTTCTAATTTATTTTTATCATAGATAATTTTTTTGAACTATGATATTTATTTCAGAAGCCGGTTCTATATTTATTAATAAATTATACCATAATATTCGGAAAACTATGACATAATTTATTTATACTCGTAAATAGCGAACTGGATATTAAAATCTGGCGACTTCCCAATCTCTACAATATTTTGTTACTTTGGAATTGAAAATCTCGAACTATCACAATATTATTGTAGGGGTGCTGTATTCCAAAGTGGAATATTTTTATTGTTTGTTTTTAATTAGTGGAATATTTTAATACTAATTTTTTAATAATTTTTTTAAGCTAAGTCTGTAAATAAAAATTAGCATTGATTATAAATAAAAATTAAATAAAAAAACAAATTTATTTTCAGAACTTATTTGATACCAGATGAGAATTGCGATAATTGTTCTTTTGATGAACTTTGTGGTATAAGTTTAGAAGATGGGGTTTTCATTAGATATGATAAAAATATACAGCCAGCTTGTAGTCCAGCTAATAGTTATGTATATTCATCAAAATTTTTAGAATTTTTCGATACAAAATTCCAGGAGAATCGAATAAATCAGTAAGTTTATGTTTTAATTATTGGTCAAACTTGTAGTTTGTAAAAGCAAGTAAGCATATAAAACTAGTTTTGTTTATGCCGGAAGATTTATTATTAATTTAATATTTATGTAAATTTATTGGTATAGGTAAGTTCGATTAGCATAGGTTAGTTAGATACTTAAATTCATATACAGTCTGACTATATAGTTGAGTATTAATAATTTTTAAATTTAAATTAATTAATTATGAAAATCGGTATGAACTTGAATTATAATTGCGTAAATACCGGATTTCGAAATATGTGTCTGAAAAACAGCAATTTCCAAACTAGTTAGTGTTATTGTTACTTACGGCAATTACTATTTCACTTCAAAAATGAAGTGAAATAGTAATTGCCGCAGTCATTTGATAAAATATTTTTATTATACATTATAATTGTATTTTTAATTATTTTATTTATTTTTAATTTCTAAATGTAAAATAATTTTAATTTCTTTTAGATTTATACCGGCACTGAATGGTGAATGTACTGTACCACATGTTGATAATACAAAAACCGAAGTTAATTGTTTTAAAGCTAAAAACAGTGGACTACAAACATTTGAACCGATAGAATGTGCAAGACGTGCTGATTTAATAATAACACATTGTCGTATTGGTTATCAAAGTAGATTATCAAATCAAAAAGATTATTTAGCACGTTGTATACGTAATGATTGGCAATATGTTGGTGGTAAAGAGAATACATGTGATTTAATATGCGGTACAGTTGATTCAAATTATCGACCATCATTAACACCATTAATAAGTAGTGGTACTAAAGCTAATATTATACAAGTACCATGGCATGTTGGAATTTATGCAAATAATACACAAATTGTACCAACAATTCAACAAGTTTGTGGTGGTACAATTATTCATTCAAATATTATTATATCGGCGGCACATTGTGTTTATGATCGCAGTAAAAATAAATTATTGAGTCCAAGTAGTTATTTAGTTGGAGCCGGTAAAACATATCGTACATATGAAATAGCAGAAGAATATGATCATTTTGCTAAAGTTATTGATTTACATATTCCACCAAAGTATAATTTCTTTAAAAAAAATAAATGTATATATTTTTAAAAAAAAATTTTTTTTTTCATTAATTTTAGTTATCATCCATCTGAAATTTATAATGATATTGCAATATTAATATTAGATCATCATTTAAAATATACATCACATATAAAACCAATTTGTATTGATTGGGAATCATTTAATAATCAAGATATTAAAGCTGGTACACAAGGTATAATAGCTGGTTGGGGTGCAACATCAAAAGATGATATTCAAAGTACTGAATTATTGATAGCTAATTTTACAACTGTTACAAATAATGAATGTAAAAAATTAGTTGATCCAAATCATAGATCTGATATTACTGGTGATAAATTTTGTGCAACAAGTGAAAAGAAAGCAAGCGCTTGTCGTGGTGATAGCGGTGGTGGTTTTGTATACAAAAAAAATATAGGATACGGTGAACGTTATTATTTTGGTGGTGTTGTTAGTATTGGTTATAATATTGATAAATATTGTTCAGATGATTTCTTAACATTATTTACAAATATTCAATTGTATCAAGATTTAATTAAAAGTGTTGTTTTAGATAGTAGAAATTCAAAATTATTTTAAAGTGATGTTTAAATTATGGACAATATTTTGTATGACAAATTTTTTTCTTGTTTTTAGTTTTAGAAATTTTAAAAATTAAATTTAAAAAGCTAGTATATAAGTTGAATGAACGATATTAATAAAATAGCAGTTTTAATGAAGCTGCACCTTGTACTGAAATAGATTATATTTCTAGCTTAATAACGATAAGACAGTATGAATAGATTATATTATTCATGCAATAATTTATAACAAAATAATTGTGTATACAAATGAAAAATATAAAATTTTCGTTTAAGCCTTAAAAATTTAATAGATCTCTAGATCAATTCGGTGTATGATTTTAATTCATATTGAAAATATTTTTGTTCCAATTATAAAATTCGAATTAGGTTTTTTTAAAAAAAGAATCCCAAAGTTAATTTAAAAATTTTTTGCACGTTTTATAATTTTTTTTGAGAAAAAACCTTTAGAATTTTTTTTTTTTTTAATTTAATATAAAATCAAAATATTGCATAAATTAAGGATTCAGTAAGGCGATGAATGCCTTTATATCCTATTAAAAGTTTATGATTTCTAAGAAATCTAATGCCTCACATCATATAGACTGCTTAAATATTATTTTTTGAACTTCTTTTAACTTTAAGGGAAAATCAAATTCATAATTTTATCCTTGCATATGAATTTTCACCTTTTTCTGTAAACAGAAATTTCGTAAATTGGATTGTCTTTTTTTAAGTTCAATTAGACTTATAAATTGAAAGAGTAGTCTTGTGTATACTAAATTTTAAGATATAAATAGAAAAATCTAGTTCGAAATGCTTTACAATAATTAAAATTTAGAAATTAATAGATGAAATTTCTGTCTGTCTGGGATGGTTTTAGTATTTTTGAAAAAATCATAAATTACTGCTAAGATTTGAATCTTAGCTCATGAAATTTGATATTATTTGTGTCTGGGTTTCGAACTTTTCCAATTTTATTATTAAAATATGTAAGCCAAATATAAAATTTTTAAAAAGATTATTAATAAAAATCAGTGATTCCAAATCAGATTTCAAATTTTATATTCAACTAGGATAAATTTAAATGGCATCTCTAATATTTATTCAAATACATTCTCAGCTTCCCCCAGTTGGACTTTCAAGGGTAATAAATAAAAATTTAGAAATATGAGACCAGATTCTATGGACAGCCAACCTAAAAATATTTTCTAATATAAATTTAAATTTAAAATATTTTTCAAAATAAAAATTCTTCTTAAGTTCAATTTTTTTTTATTTTGTTATACATAGATAAAAATGGTCCTGACATTAAATTTTCTTATGTAAATTTTATATAGAATATATTAAAATAGAATATTAAAGAAAATCTATTTGAATATCAAATGGATATTTCTGTTCAAAATGTATATGTAAAATATTCACAATTCCATATTGAATGTTGATTACATGTTTTTTGTAATATAATTTTAATTATACATTTTGACATTTTATTTTGTAATGGCAAAATTTTTTTATGACGGCATAACAAATATTATAGTATGGTAGATGTATAAATAAAATAACTAGAATATTCTATATCCGGAATTCTAATTTTGACAGTGTTGATTTGTAAACTTTTCTCTAAAAAATTTTATTTTTTTTAAAAATTTATTTAGGCATTATTAAATATGAAAATTTTCATAAAATTTTATTATTCACTTGCAGATATTTAAAGTTAGAAAATTTATTATTGTTATAATATTTTGAATTTTTTTAATATCTTTTGGGCAAGAACAAAATTTTAAGGTTTATATTAACAAAATTCATTTGCAGAGACGGAGTTAGTTTTGAATTATGTTAAAAAAAGAAGAATATTTTCATACTTGGGATGTTGTTTCTAAAAATTCCTATTAAACTAATAGAATATAACAGATTTTTCGCTCATTTACTGTAATACGGGCTGATCTCACATTTTCGGCTATATCAAGGGAGCTATTTGCCGAAATCTATTATTTTATATTTCATTCTGTCGAATATGAATTACAATTCAAATTATCGCTGATAGTCTTAATATCTTACTATGAAAATAATGTTAAAACTGCAAAAATTTTGTAAGTTTAAGTGCACTGTCAATTATATGCTGGCATAATGTTAAAAAAAAATCTTATTTTCTTGAAGTACATATCGAGAAATTAATATTAAAGTCAATTGATAGTTTGTCATTCAAAAACACAATTTAATATTTTCAGTATTTTGTGTGCAATATATTTAGTAACAACTTGTCCTAAGTGATTTTATTTTCAATCTTATTGAAATTTGCATTTAGAATTTCTATAAATGATAAGAAATATTTACTATAGGAAAATTTTTTTTTAAGTGACAGAATATTTTCTTTTTCTTTTGGATGACATAGTCAGATTTTTTGAGATTTTTGATTCATATATAATACAAAAAAAAAAAATCCTAAGAGATTTATGCAACTTTAATTGTGTATCAAGTGCCAAAAACACAATTTCTACTTGCTTTTTATTTACATATAAATACACTAAACGAAAAAAAAAAAATGGCGATGATAATGTAAAAGGATTGAGAAATCTTAGTTGATTTTATGACAATTTTGTTTTTGTATTTTATACAAATTTTTAAGTCATCTTATTTACAGATTTACAAAGACAATTTAAATATTTTAATACTAAAAGAAATTTTTAAGATAAGTGCAAGAATTTATCAGAAAATAATAATGACATAGGCAACTGAATTGAGATTGAAATGATTTTACTTGTATTTAATAAGAAATTTTTTCGATTTCAATTTTAAATTGAATATTTTATTATGTTGTCTTCAGTTGCTTTACAGTTAAATTACTTTTTTTTTAAAGAATTAAAGTACATTGCATTTTTAATCTACTATGAAATTATTATACTTTCAAATCAAGATTTTCAATCATAACGAGAATATCCACAAATAATCAAAAAATTCCTTTAGTATTTTAAAAAATATGACAATGTTATTATGATTTTTTAATTGTTACATTTGGGACAAACCATGTTGTTGTTTATAAAACGATAGTTTTTCCTTGGTGGTACACAACAATATCCAGTGATTAAGCAACAAATTATAATGTTGAAGTATAATTACGAAGCAATAATCTTGTTACCGCAGCTGGAAACTATGATAATTTTGACTGACTATGAAATCTGGCGCATATTTCTGAATTTTTACATGAGTTTTTTTTGAAATCTCAATAAATTTTTCATAAATATTGTACGTACGTATTTAATTTAATAATTTTAATAAGCTTACATCAAAATAGCTGACTCATTAACAGTAACCTTCACATGATTTGCATAATAGTTACTTCCTAAAACATGAAATTTATGATGTTTTTTATTAATTTAATTGTAGATTACTCAAAGAATAAAATAAAATTACCTAATTTCATTTGTATAGTTTAATCAATCAAAACGATGTTTCCTTTGACCTTATTCCACGGTATCATTTGCTAATGCATTCTATACAAAATATTAGGAAAAATAAAAAATTAAATTTCTTTTTTGATTCTTGATTCTCTATTGCCGTTTATTCCGAATTTCTCTTTTTATTTTTATTACCATTAAATTTCTATTTATTTTATGACATTTTCAGACATCCTGTATAATTTTGTAATCTGCTTTTAACTTTTTAATTAAGATAAACAAAAAAAAAAAAACTTAACAAGCTTGTATATCCGAGAGCGTTTAAAAAAATCTTTTTATGTATGTATGTATGTACATAGAGAAATAGTTAAATAGTGAATATTTTTAGTTTCTTTATTTTGAATCCTGTTGTTATAACATTATACACATACATAATAGTTTTAGGAATTTTCTGTTTATTTTTAAATAAATTTTTTTGTTGACGGGTTGAGAAGACTTACTTAGATTTACAAAAAAAATATTATATTTGATGTAAATTTTATTGTGTGTTTTTTATGTTTTTAGAAAGAAATAGAATGGACATGTAGTTAAAAAACTATCATTAATTTTATGGGATACATGAATAGGTTTCTGATTGTAAACCTCAATAGAAGTTTCAAAAGCTTCAGCATAAGATTCTGGCATAAACTTTGCAAAAACGCTTGTTTTATGCGATTTCATCAATCTTTCTGTAATAAAATAAAATTTTAATTGACACAAGGTTAACTAAATCAAACATAATGTCAACTATTTTTCATGTTTTAGAATCTGCAAATAAGGTGAAATAATTAATTAATGCCAAATGCGAGATGACTGGTTAAGCTGACAAATGACAAATGACAGCTGACAAATGAAAGATGACAGACATGTGACAGGTGACAGCTGATATGTGACAGGAGTCAAATGACAGATGACAGGTGACAGATGACACATGACAGTTGACAGCTGACAGATGACAGGTGGCAGATGACAGATGACATGTGACAAATGACAGATTGCATGTGGCAGATGACAGCTGACAGATCACAGATGACAGATGACATGTGACAGATGACATTTAGGTAATACTTGATAGGTGACAGATGACGTAAATATTAGAAAAATTTCAAATACGTACTTGATGAAAAAAAAAATTCTTTAATTTTGAAATATTTCAAAATATTTTAAACTATTTTTTCATTATCTTGCGGTTTATGAGTTTTTTCACACTATTATTTATCACAATTACATACATATTATTTATTTTGTACAACTTTAAAAATTGAAATTTACTTTTGAATTGATATAAACGCAAACTCGTACATATTTACTTCAAAAAAATTGTATACAACAAAAAGGATAATAGTAAAATATCAAAAATATTATCAAGTTTAATATAAATTGCGTGATGAATTTTTTTAAATAAAATAATGCCTGAGCTGATTTTATGTACTATAGGAAATTTTTAAATACTAAACCTGTAAGTATCTTAGAAGTATAATCAACAAAATCAATGAAAAATGACAATATGTTATACGAAAAGTAATATTTTTTTCTGTGATACCGATGAAGGGATCAATGAAAATTCAAACAGGATTTACTTAAGTTTCTTTTATGTTTTTTTGTT